AAAGGTCCGCCACGGGTTAAGACGTTTTTCGTGCGTTCGTGAAGACAGATGATCGGCGCAGGCACAACGAGCCAGCGCCGACTCCTGATCCAAGTGCGAACAAACTGTAACGAGCCGCCGCCGTGCAGCAAGTGTAGGGGTTGCTGTACTGAGTAGTACAGCGGCCAGTCCGTAATGGAACCAGTAAATTGTCGAGAACATGACAGCAGGAAAACAAGAAGCGGCGACTGGCAAGATCCGAGCTCACCAAACTTTTTTTTTCTCAGAAAATGATGAGCGTGTGCAATTATCAATGGACAGCTTAATTTGCGTTCTTTTATCTGTCATTGCTATTTTTTAAAATTACTGAGACATTACTAGTAGGCCTATTTTGAGCCCAAGAAACAATGTAACGCGTAAGAACCGGGCGGAAATGTTGAAGTCCATATCTGACAACGACCAGTAAATTGAGTGGTTCAGAGGTCGTGTGCATGTAGTTTGCGTCTTCATGTCAACTGCGACTCGCACTCCGCCACCAATGCACCCATGTCAGCTCCACGCGCGGCATCCAGTGCGAGCTTCCACGCCTCGTGTATCTTGTCTGTGACTGCTGTTGTTTCGCTCGTGAGTCGCGCCAGGGCGACGAGTGCCTTTGCCGATTCCAACATGAAGTCGGCGCGCGCGGCCCATTCAGCCCCCAGGTGAGAACTGCGCGCGCATCTGAGTCAAGCTTCATAGCGGCCAAAGAGCGGCCAAGGAGTACGATGCAAGTCACGAGGGTGTTCATGTTCTGGTTGCGTGAGCACAGGGCTAGGCTCAGAATGGTTCTGTGTAGAGCCGCTGTGGCGAAAGCATGCATCGTGTTCGAACCTGTATCGCGTGCCTCTTGTGCTTGATCTAGTGCAGCTTCGATCAAGATACTGTTCAGGTTAACCTCGACCTCAGTGGATTTCAGCCTCCGCGCCAGTCGAAGTCCTGTTGCAGCCAGGGTCGCCACTTCGGCGAGTTCCTTTCAACGCGAGCCAGCATGGCCTCTCGCATATCACGCACGAGTTGTTGCCAAGGCGAGCAATTGGAGTTGAGTTTGCCAGCGCATTGAATACTGTTCTGGCCGCTATGATGCAGCCCATATCAGTTAAAATATCCGCGCGGGTTCCCATTTGAAACGCCACGGTCGTTGCTGAGCCATAGCGGATATTGAATTGGCAGCAGATCTCGTTCATGCGAAGCGCCTCATTCAGCCTACCGCGGGTCATGAGAATGCACGTCAAGCTCTCATAGACACGCCTCAGGGGTGCCGCACTGCCGACGGTCAAGCAATAGCGAAGACATTCGCGTGTAATCGCTTCGGCCTTCCGCACTGATCCTTGGCGAATGTAGATGTTGGACATGTTGATTTGAGCGGAAATGATGCCTGTGATATGGTCGACGGCTTCAAAACATGCAACCGCCCTCCATGAGAATTCGAGGCCCTGACTGAGATTGTCGGTCAAAAGTGCCCTGATCCCAAGAAAGATCCAACAGGATCCTTGCTGCATCAAAAACTGATCACCCATTCGTTCGTATCTGGCAAGAGCTCGGTGAAGCACTTCTACAGCATCCACCGCAGACATCGCAGCGCTTAGAAGGTATTCGGCTTCTGCGATCAAGTTATCATCTCCTGTGGTTTGAGCGAGGTCTAAAGCTCTGTGGGCCAGGTGGATTTCTTCGGTTTTAGTCCGAGCACGGCGGATCTGACGAAGAGTAACGGCAACCTGCTGCACGAAGAGGCGACAGGGTTATCGAGTGCTCGTGCGAGGTGCGGGCTCTCGGGCATGCCAGCGAAGAAGAGCACGCTTTCGAATTTGGTTACCACGGAGATGGCCCACTCAGCTCCCGGAAATTGTCGAGGCAGTAGCCGCAAACAGACTCAACATTGGCCCACTCAGCGGTCAGTTGGCTGAGTAGTTCTTTTGTATGCGATGTGCCCAGTTTGTGAATAATGGCTGTGAAATCTTGATACTCTCTCTCCAGCGGGGCAATGAGAGAGTATGAAGGCGGGTGGTGGCGCAGGATATAAAGACGGATGGGTGAGAGAGAGCGCAAACGACCGCATTCATCTGCATATGCAAGCATAGCGCTCTTTAGGGCTGAAGCTGACCGGCGGATAGATTTAAAAGACGGATGAGAATAATTCTCCGGCAAACCGTTGGGTAGTAAAGCGAGGAGCTGAAGTAGTTCGAATGCGCCAGGGGTGTTTGATATACGAGTTGATTCCACAGAGAGCTTGATGGAGACATCAAGCGAGGACAGGCGGGTAACGGCGCCTGCGCCTGAGCGCTCCACCTGAAGGATATTCGTTCCCTTTTCTTTCCACCGCTGTAGTATATCAGCAAGGGGCTCGGTGCATGCCATGTTGGCGGCGAGTGCAACTGCCAAGGGGATACCATCAAGAAGCTTGAGAAACTGTGTCACCTCCTCTCCGTCACCTGTTAAATTGGTACTAGTGCAGAAAATCTGGCGGGATGCTTCAAGTCCGAGTGGCCCGAGGGGTTCCAGAGTAGGTATCGTCCATGATGTCCCAAAGGCCGCTCGCAGCCTCGCATCGTGAGAAGGAGGGTGACATTTGTGAGAGAAGATAGCTCTCCAAGAAACCGCTCAGTTGCCGCCCGCTGGCTCAAAACTTCCCAAGGTGTCTCAAAGTTGTCCAAGACAATCAGAAGCTTCGTTGACCGGAGAGCGGCCAGCAGCCGCTTTTGCAACTGGTCCCCCGAGATGCCGAAGTGTGATGCGAGGTCTGAGATGAGGCCGCTGGCGGATATAGCACTCTCACACGATGCGAAGAAGCGGTGTTCACCGAACTTTTCGACGATGGAGGGGTGATTAACAATGCTTAGCGCAAGCGTCGACTTGCCCATCCCTCCACCACCTAGAATAATGACTCTCGCTGGCGAGGAGGCCGGAGCTGTATGTATTTGGTTTAGAATGGTGCGCTGCTCCATGTTTCGACCGACCAGAAGGCCGGCAGAAGGCAGGCTTCTAAGGCGCAATGAGTTGTGGCGGAACACAGATTTGAGATCTCTCACCGCTTGTGCAGCTCGCCGGAAGTGTCGTTGGCTGCGCGGCCTGCTGTGATATCCAGGATATTGAGTGTTTGAATTTGCATGTTTGTGCGGCTCTCCTGCAGGCTATTTACTCGGACATGAAAGAGTATGGCGCATTCGGACTAAGGGAAACATCATAAGAGATAAGTCTCTATGCCGCCATGAAAAGCCGCACCTGGAATAAGCCTAGGGCGCGTGAGAGCTCCTCCCTCGCCTGCCGTTCGTTTGTCTGATCCAGAAGGCGTCGCACTACACCCGGCTGCGATTGACGCTGTAAGAATTCAAGAACCCCGGTTAAGGCCCTGCACAGAAGCATACTGAGCGAAGCGGGTAAATGCTTCTGCTAGATCATACCGGTGCAGCCGCTCGAGGCTGTTGATAGCTTCACCGGGCAGTTCAGCGCTGACATCCTTGAGCTCAGATTGCACAATTTCCAAGGTCTCCTTCACAAGTTGCACGACGCGAAGGCACGCGAGCCGATTGCTGCGGGCGACCTGGCCGCAATGTGGCGAGCGAAGATCAGTTCATTTCTTCAACGCAGTTGAAAGCGGCGCAATTGCTCGCAACCTCACCTTTGCAGATTCAAAGATAAGGCTGGCGGTCCCAAGATAGCCTGAACTGCTGGTACCCCGGAAAGGCCACCGATCTGTCTTAGAGCCTGGATCGCAACGAATCCGGTCGCCATTGGAGGATTGAAGGGCCGAATCAATACTCCCTCGTAGGCTTTTCAAGGCATGACCGGAAAAACAGTAACACAAGAAGCTTGCTCTAGGGAATGAGCGGGAGACATGTTTGTTTAGTTTACAGAGAACAGAACCGCAAGAGAGCTCTCGTTGGTGGGAACATTGATCTATTCGGAATGTGCGGTAAATCCACCGCGGTGAAGTGAGTATGGCCGTAGATACACGTCTGGTTTGTTGAGGTTGAGCGTTGGTTACGACATTGCAGAAGCCCGAAGATAACATGTATATAGTAACATCCCCAACGAAGTTTGAGGTGTGATACACCCCGTCCATGATGCACACCATTTCGCGTGAGAACTGACGTACATAAATCAGTCATCAAAGCGGCCAGGCACAAGATGGGGGAAGATGGAGCGAGAGCTGCGGAATTTCAAAGTCAACTGGGACTGGAGCCGAATTTCGCTACTAGACAGCAATCCCGGGGACTATAGCAGTCACCGAGTACAGAATCAAAGCTGCTCACCAAAACTGCGACTATGAGTAATCTACAGTCGCATATAACCCCCGGGATCAAACCTGCGAGTCGTATCCGGGTTACGAGCGTTTTAACTGAGGATTTCGCGTCAGCTGTGGAGCCGATGTGAAATAGTAGCTGCCCGTGGCTCCCGCTAGATCAGTTGAGAAAGTTGAAGAATTGCGTTAGTGCAGAGTGGAGAGCCAAAACAATTCCGACGGCGGCCAGCTCCGAGCTGGTAAGTAAACGCCTGACGGGGGCAGCAAAGCCGTAACGTAATCATAAAATTGAGTTCAACCCCCCCCCCGCCGAAAGTCGAACCCGGGTTACGTGCGAGCAATTGCATTACGAAGACCTTATTACCGCAAGGTACCTTTGTCGGTGGTGATGATGGCTATAAAGGGATGGGCGGCGAATCTACTGCGGCTCAGGAGGCATCGCTGAAGAATCACGTCTGGTTGTTGACCAAGGGTTGAGTGATGCTTTGTACACACAGTCACCTGCAGAGTCCCTTCCAGGTTGTCAGCACACCAACCGAGATATAGAGTCACTGCACCAACCAAAACGCGCGTCACATACACAACGCGAGGAGAAGAGGTGGAAGGTCAGCAGCCTCAAAGCCCCAATTCCAACTCAAGCGATGCGGCAAGCACCAGTGATTGAATGTCTGAAATATCAAGTATCACTTCCAAAGATGAATGCAAGCCCACAAAAGCGTATCTCTCGATAGATGGTCAAAAACTCCCTCACCGGGAGTCGAACCCGGGTTACGCGCGAGCAATTTGCAGTCTAATAACCGCTTTTGACAGGCGCGTGTCTTGAACCGTTGGACCATGAGAGATTGTTGCAGACATTCTGAAAGTAATCATTCATTTACAAACCCGTAGCAATCCGTGCCCAACAATAGGGGCGGCGGAAGCAAAACGAACGCGTGTCGCTCCTCTCCCGCCACCCGCACCATCGCCAGCCATTTTTCTTGTCCCACTCACCACTCCCTGTTTGCGTCGGCGGCCCGGGGGTCTGGCTCCCGATCCGCCCACGCACAAGGGGCTTCGGCACGCACTCGGGCAGCGGAATTGCCGGCCCCGAGCACGCGAGGCGATGTGGAGAGTGCGCACGCATGGGATCCCCTGTGCCCGAGCGTGATCGCGAACCAACGATCGCGGCGCGCACTTTCCGCCGCCAGCCGGCGCTCTTTCCCCATACCGCGAAACTAAGTAACACAGTGCAAATAAAGACAGAGTGAATTTATATGTTTGTTTCAGAAGTTCAATGTGGCTTTGCGAGCCGAACCGAATCCCCAGATCTATGAATGAGACGGCATGTTTGTAACGATGACCAGACTCTACTTTGCTCCGATTAGACTTGATCAAGTTGTAGACTGTCTTCTCTGTGCTTTCAAAGACAATCTGTAAGTTGAGGGCTAAGGAGTGTATAATATGTCAGCTCTCCGCCTGGGTTTGAGCCGACAAACGCTGCAACCTGTAAGTATGTCTATCACATTAGGCTCAGATCCGAAATAGATGTGTACAATGGCCCATAGCTCGTCGAGGAAAGAGTGTGCCTTGTGGACGCTGCCTCGGTAGTGACTGATAGCCACTACCTAAGGACGGCCGCGACGCACTTGAAGCTCTCAACGCCGACGATATACATATAGAATACGTGAGCGAGAACCTGATATCTAGAATATGGGTGCTAGCGTCGTCATCGCCTTCCTATGTTGTAAACACCCGCGGACGCCTCATACGCAGCCCGAGACACCGGGGTGATATCGATCACTGCATGACGATGCGAGTCCGTCAAAGCGGATGCGCACTCAAGAAAGATGCTCGAAAGGTAGATTGTCGTATCTGACCGGTAAGATACGGTTTTTTTTAAAAAAAAACATGCGGGAGAATCGCCACCAAGCAGCGGTGTTCAAACAGAGCCCCTTCCTCTGACATTTCAGAGGGGTCCCATGCTAGCGTTACATAAGTATTAAGAGTTACGTCAATTTGGAGGGTCGGGTTTTAGTGAGCACTGTTCGCATTGCCACGCACCTGTCCGTGAAAGGTGCCCGCGGCGAGGGAACAACCCCCCGTAGTCTGACGACCGTCTGGTCATACATTAATACAGAGTGTATTCGTTGTATTGCAATAGGTCACGGAAGCCAATGAACACAACACCTTGGAGGGATCGCTAATTGCACATGAGATAACGAAGACAAGGCACTTGGCGCGTCGCAGGACAAGCGTGCGCACGACGAGGTGTCAGAGGTTTAGGAAGTCGCGGACGACGATGGTGATATGGTAAGCGCGGCGGATGATAATGCAGATATGGAAGGAATGCAGCGGGACGAGATTGAGAGCGTGAATGAGAGCGGGAGTTGCTGATCGTTTCAGTACTGAGAACAAGGAATGAGGATGAGCCTAAGACGGGGAAGTAGTACATGCACATGAAAGCATCGGATGAGGACGGAGTGACGGATTGCGCACCCAAAGGTCGCTGGCCAGAAACAGGAAGTTTAGCAGCAAAGAAGTGGAGTAACACGCGCGAGCCGGCGCACGGGCAGGGACGCTGAGCTCTGCGTGTAGTGCCAGCAGGGTAGGTAAGAAAAGGAGATATCACGCCCCGCCCTTCCTCTGCTTGCGCGGTGTGACAACCCGCCCTGCACCCATCCCGCCATATGAGTACTTGTTCTTCTTTTCAGCGGGTTTCAATATCTATAAGACGGTCAGTCATTGTACCAGGCGGGTATGGATGACGCACCTGGAAGGAACATAGCAAGCTCTCGTCCACACTCATCATTGCACCTGCATTGTCGAACTCGCCGCAATAGTTCGGTGCAGAGAATAGAGTGACCAAATGCCTTTTTGCAAAGAACTCGTACCCGTCCTCGACGACCTGCAGATCGTAAACATGGCCAGAGCAGAAGCGGATGGTGTGCCAGTAAGCGTGCACCGTAGAATGATCAGCAAAGTTTGGCCCCGTTTCGTTTAAGCGATCGAGATGGAGATAAACGTGGGCCAGACGAGGACAACAGAAGGAGGCATCGGTCAGGTGAGCGAGCAGGCATGAAGCGCACGGCGACACTGACCTGATGTGCGCGGCAGATGAGGTCCATGTCATGCTTCTGCAGGAAGCGTGTGACGACGTCGGGTCCAAAGGTGAACGACACGCCACGGTCGTTTTCGCTCCAGCCCGTGATGTCTTTGTCGGGGTCGCTCCACAGCAGGTCGCACAACAGGCCTACGGTCAAGAAGGAAAGACACGAGAACGAGGTTGAGTGTCAGCAACTAAAAAATGCGAGTGGAGTAGGCAGCAACTGACCGGTGTCGGGTACGTCGGTGGGTCGCATGACACGACGAATCTGCTCCATCGACTGTAGGTCGGGCGAGAGACCACCGTGCATAGTAAAGATCTTCTCGTCAATGATTGCGGCAATTGGTAAGCAGTTGAAGCAGTCCGTAAAGGTCTTCCAAAGCTTGATGTTGTATCGTCGTTTGCCTGTAAG